CTCCTCCACGCTGCTCCTCCGCTTCTCTGCACGTCACCTCCACACCCGACAGCACGAGAGGCACCCCCGGTGAAAAACGATGAGACTGACTGGAGAGGCTGAAGTAGTCAGTAGTCCGGTCCGGTTCTGCTCCAGTCTGGCTCCGGCACTCCACAGCACGAGAGGTGAAGAGGCTGAAGTTGTCCCTAGCCAGGTTCTGCACCGGTCCGGTTCCGTCGGCGCTTCAAAGCATCAGAGCATCTCCTCCAGGCGAACACAGCGATTCCACGGAGGTGGACAGTCCTTCATTAAAAGTAACGGGCTGCTCACTGAAACTGAGACTGGCTCTGTTGAAGACCAAATCCCCCACAGCCACCTCGGTTTGGTTCTGGTCCAGTTCGGGGGACACAGGTACACTCCCCCCCCACCAATGAAGACACCACGAGGGCCTGTCCAGCAGAAAACAGCGAAATACCACTCTGCGATTCTTGTCGGAACCAGGTAGAACCACAAAGGTCCAGATGAGAAGTACGTTGGGGTCCAGAGAGAGAGAGAGAAAAAACACCGGACCTTCGTGCGACGACTCCCCAGCTTGAGGGGTCACCTGGGCGGCAGGGTGCGCTCAGAGTGACCGGTGGGGTGGGAGCGGCTGGTCCTGGACCAAAATATATTTTTGGACAGTCCTGTCCAGCTCTCTGAGTCACTGAACACTGAATTCGGTTGGAAGGGGGACCAACTTTAGTCCGGTTCAAAAAACAGGTCAATTTGATGACAAAAGACTGCAGAGAAGACGGAGGGAGCTGCCATCCATCAGCTCGCCGGAAGTGAAGGATAAGCGAGTCTAAAGAGATGTGTTTTCAGAGCAGTCTTGAATAGAGAAAGAGAGGTGGTGTTTCGTAAGTCAGGGGGTAGAGAGTTCCAGAGATGGGGGCAGAGCAGGTGAAGGCCCTGCTCCCCATGGTGGAGAGGCAGGCAGAGGGTACATGGAGGTGTAGTGAAGAGGAGGATCTGAGAGAGCGAGAGGGGATGGAGATGTGTAGGAGGTCAGATAGGTAAGGAGGGGCAAGGTTCTGGATAGCTTTGAAAGTGAGAAGAAGAATTTTGAAGACGATTCGTGATTTAACCGGGAGCCAGTGGAGCTGCTGCAGGACAGGAGTGATGTGGTTATAAGAGGAGGTTTGAGTGATGACACGGGCAGCTGAGTTCTGGACCAATTGCAGCTTTTGAAGAGATTTGTTGTGGAGGCCATAAAGAAGGGAGTTGCAGTAGTCAATCCGAGAAGTCACAAGACTGTGCATAAGGATGGCTGTAAATCGGGGTGTGAGAGAAGGACGGAGACTGTTAATATAGAGATGTAGAGCTGTGTGTCATCAGCATAACAGTGGAAATGGACACCAAATTTATGGAAGATGTGACCTAGAGGAAGGAGGTAAATGATGAAGAGGAGGAGTCCGAGGACAGAGCCTTGGGGAACACCCGTGGAGACGGGGGAAGACTGGGAACGAAAGAATTTAAGCTGAATGAATTGAGTGCAGTAAAAGATTTGAGCCAGTCTAACGGAGTACCTGAGATGCCAATGGAGGTTAGTCTGTTGAGGAGGATAGAATGACAGATTGTGTCGAAGGCAGAACTTAGATCCAGTAAAATGAGGATAGACAGAAGAGCAGAGTCAGCAGCAAGAAGAAGGTCATTTAGTTATTTTTATTAGAGCTGTTTTGGTGCTATGGTGGGGGCGAAAACCAGATTTAAACTCTTCATAAATGTTATTGTTGGATAGGTGAGAGTGAAGTTGACTAGCAACGGCTTTTTCAAGAACTTTTGAAATAAAGGGCAAATTAGAGATCGGACGAAGATTACTGAAGTTGGTAAAGTCAAGACCTGGTTTCTTGATGATGGGGGTGATGGCAACAGATTTGAAAGCTGTGGGAACAATGCCAGAGGTTAGGGAGGAGTGGATGATGTTAGTGATGATGGGGAGCAGAGACGGGATTTAACGAGAACTGTGGGAAATGGATCGAGCTGACAGGATGAGGACTTAGACTTGCTGATAATGTCAGCAATGTCATCAGCTGAGGGGAGGGAGAAGACAGAGAAGGGGAGGGAGGGGGGAGTTCAACATAGATGCTGGGGGCGGCATTAGGTCCAAGATGTTTATGAATTGAAATAATCTTTCCATTGAAATAAGACATCAGAGAGTTGCAAAATTCTGTGGAAACCATGTGAGAGGGTAATGAGTTAGGAGATGAGATTGAACGGTTAAGGAGAGAGAACAAAGTCTTTGAATTGCCAACAATGGAACTGATGATGTCAGAGAAGTAGCTGGATTTGGCTTGAGAAATACTGTCCTTATACTGGATGACGTGGTTTGCATAGAGTTCCTTGTGAATTGAGAGACCGGATTTCTTATAGAGTCGCTCCAACCTCCGACCTTTGGATTTCAGAGAACGGAGTTCTGGAGTGAACCAGGGTGCAGAGTTGGAGAAGGAGACAGACCGGGTTTTCAGAGGAGCGACAGAGTTAAGGATGTTGGTGAGGCTGTTATTGTAGAATGTGACAAGGTCTTCCGGGGTAGGGAAGGTAATGAACTGCTGGAAGCCACAGCTGTCGAGGCAAGATGTGAAGTCTCTGGTGAGGGGGTTGTTGTCTTCATCCATATGAATGTTGAAGTCTCCAAGCAGAATAATGTTGGGTGAAAGAGCTGAGAGATGGGCAATTAGAGCAGCAAAGTAATTTATAAAAGAGTTGTTGATTTTGGGCGGACGGTAGAAAGTGGCAATAATGGTGGGGGTAGGGCCGGAGAGTAGACACACACAGTGTGCTCAAAGGAGGGAGAGGTAGGTGTGAATCGGCGTGACCTTCCAGTTCTCGCGGTGAATTATCGCAAGACCTCCTTCGCGGCCGGACTCGTGGGATTTGGCGATGTAAACAAACCCCGGTGGGGTAGATTCATTCAGGTGGAAAAAGTCATTTTGTTGTTGCCACGTTTCTGTTAGACAAATAAAATCTAGCTTACGGTCGGATATTAGGTCTTGAATAAGCTGACCTTTGCCTGTGAGAGAGTGAACGTTCAGAAGGCCAAAGTTTACAGAGGAGGAGTTTGTAGCGACCGAAGCATTAGCCGACCGAGCTAGGCTAGCTAACATGTTACTACTGTTAGCAGCCCGAGTATTGTGACGTGTAGAATGGTGAGAGTCAGATCAGATGGAGTTTATGGGGTTAGACTTGTCAGCGTGGAGTCTACGGCGGGAGCCACTGTGAATGTATCTCCAACGAGGATGAAAGGCAATGTTCTGAAAAGGGAGTACAGGTGGCAAGGCTGGTAGGAAATGAAGGCGAAGGAGCTCGACCGCTGAGTAATGGAGAAGGCCAGACGCTGGGTGTTGGTGGATGAGCAGCTGGAGAGTCCAAAGCAGAGCAGGCAGCAGGTAAATCCTAATGAACCGCATGGCTGATATTGAGACGGATCAGAGACTTGGTGTAGTGGAAAAGGCAGGAAGGACTGAATAAAACAGAAACAAGAAAAAAGCAAAACAGCATGACGAGCAGCGGCAGCCAGGATGCGCCAGCGTTCACTCGCCGTAAGTTTAAATATCAGGGATCAGAACCCCAGTTTCTGCTCCAGATCTTATTTATGTTCAGTCTGTTGCCGGTCTTCTGATTTCTGCTCGGAGGAACAGAGTGAATAATAATAATAATAATAGTGAATTTAATTTGTAACACACTTTTCATTAACAAAAATCGCAAAGTGCTAAAGAGTGCAACTAAAATCAATGATAAAATCAACTAAATTCAGTGATAAAATCAACTAAAATCAATGATAAAATCAACCAAATTCAGTGATAAAAATCAACTAAAATCAATGATAAAATCAACTAAATTCAGTGATAAAATCAATGATAAAATCAACTAAATTCAGTGATAAAATCAATGATAAAATCAACTAAAATCAATGATACAATCATGTGGAGGCAGAATAGGCCTGCTTAAAAAGAAAAGTCTTTAAGTCTTTTTAAAGTCAGTCAATGATTGTGGAGCTCTCAGATATTCAGGGAGGGAGTTCCAGAGGTGGGGGGCAGCCACACAGAATGCCTGATCTCCCATGGTTCTTAATTTAGTTTGTAGAAGGTGGAGGAAATTACTGTTCTGTGATCGTAGGGACCGGGTGGATGAATATGGAGCAAGAAGGTCCTTCAGATAATCTGGTGAATTTCCGTATAAACACTGATGATGATGAGAGCAATTTTTTACTGAATTCTGTAGGTGACAGGAAGCCAGTGGAGGTTATGGAGAATGGGTGTAATATGTTCAAATTTACGAGCTCCCTATAAAATCCTGGCTGCACTGTTTTGAATATATTGAAGCTTCTGAAGGTTTTTGCCGGGTATTCCAGTAAACAGGGAGTTGCAGTAGTCGAGCCTGGAGGAGAGTGCTTCAGTTCCCTGAGACGACTTCTCTTGTGACTTGGTGCTAAATAAATACATTGAACTGACACAGCTGGAGGTTTTACAGCTGAGCACAAATGAATCAGAACCATGAGAACATTCAGAACTCTGAGAACACTCAGAACCATGAGAACATTCAGAACCATCAGAACTTTCAGAACCATGAGAACATTCAGAACCATCAGAACATTCAGAACCATCAGAACCATGAGAACATTCAGAACCATCAGAACATTCAGAACCAT